ACTTGTTGGAGAGGATGGGTTTCGGGGGGAGTGGAGGAGGTGGATCAAGGTCTGAGGCAGGGGGACCTGCTTTTCCCTTTCTTTCATCATTGTGATGGAAGCCCTCGTTGATGAGAAGGGCAGTGGAGTTGGGCTTCATCAGAGGATTTAAGGTGGGTAGGGACTCCTCCAGTCAGTTGGAGATAACACATCTGTTGTTTGTAGATGATACTTCAATTTTTTGTGATGCAGGCGAGTCTTAGTTGAGATACTTGGGGTGCATTTTGATTTGCTTTCAGGCAGTCTCTAGTATGAAAGTCAATGTGGGAAAGGGTGTTTTGGTTCTGGTGGGGGAGGTTGCTGAGATCTGTCTTTGCTGACATCCTTGGCTGCGGAATTGGATTTTGAGCTATCCTGTAGCTTGGTTTGCCTTTGGGGTAGCCCTCCTCGAGGAGGCTTGTAGGGTGGAAGAAGCAGTATCCTTCGAAGGCTGGGAGGGTCACTTTAATGAAAAGCACACTGGCGAGCCTTCCTACTTACTTCTTATCCCTTTTTTAGATTCCTTCTTCGGTGGCTAGGACGATAAAGAGTCTTCAGCGAAATTTTTCTATGGTGTGGTATGGGGGAGGAGTTAAAGTACATCTTGCTCACTGGGAGCAAGTTTGCACGCCGATTTAGTCGGGTGGCCTCGCGAATCAGCATACTGGAGCCTTTAATTAAGGCTCTTTTGGGGAAGTGATTGCGAAGATTTGGGGTGGAGAGACAGAGGCTCTGGAGGAGGGTTAATTTTAGCAGTTTTGGGGAGGAGAAGGGTGGCTGGTGCACTTTTGAGTTGAGGACTCCTGGAGGGTTAGGTGTTTGGAAGTTCATTCAGAAGAGGTGGGATGAATTATCGAAGCACATTAGATTCAAAGTTCGGGATGTCAGGGGCATTTGCTTTGGGGAGTTTATTTGGTGTGGTGACTGACTGACTGTTTGCTGGCATTCACATTCCTTGGACTCTTCCAGATTGCTATGGATAGACATGCCTTGGTTGTTCAGTGTTATCAGCTTTATAGCAGGACGACGACTTGGGATGTGTGCCTTTTGAGGCATTTCCAGGACTGGGAGTTGGAGGATGCCATTGGTTCTTTGGAGTTGCTGTATCTCCAGGAGATGGATGGTGGAGAGTCTGATGCCCACGTGTGGGAGCCTTTTGGATGCTCCAGGGTTTGCTTTCCTGCAAAAGGCTGTTTGGCGCACAAAGGCCTTTCTTAAGGTGGCCTTTTATGCTTAGACGATAGTTCTAGGAAGTATTCTTACTCTGGACAACCTGAGGAGTAGGCAGGTGCAAGAGAGATGAAGAATCGGTAGATCATCTCTTGTTGCATTGCCTTGTGGCCGGGGGCGGCTGGAGCGTTAGGCGAGTTACGCGGTCGCCTAAGGCCCCAACCAATAAGAATGCGTCATAATTTTTCATTTCTTTTTATATTATAACTTTCTTAAAATAATTATGTTAATTATTAAACATCAACAAATAGAGGGATTTGACAGTGACCTACAAGATTTCTATTGTTTATCACCTTCCTTCTTTCTTTTTTCAGGCCCTCAAAATTTTTTCCTTCTATATTATAAGTACCTAAAAATTTTATTTTCTTCTATTATTAAACCTCAATCAATAGAGAAATGTAATATTAGGCCCAAAATATTTCTATAGTTATACTACTTTTTTTTTTATCTCTCTCTCATCCTTATTACATGAGCGTATACACACACACATACATATATATTACTACACCAAACTTCCTATATTTTTTTAAGACACCTATTAACTTTTTCTTTTTTTTTCCTTATCCCTCACATATTTTTGCTCCTCTCATTATAATTTTTTTTTATTTTTTATAATTTTCATCTTCTCCACTCCTACAATTTACGACCTCACTCCGTCACAAGATTTTGAATGAACTTTTTATTCTATTAAAGAATTTTTTGGAGTATTGGAACAAATTCTTCGAGATCAGTTTCTATTGTTCTATAACTTCAATTAGTTTATAGTTTTATTAAATTTTGTTATCATAAAATTATTTATTTTGTTTGTGAGTTGTCATCATTTTTATTTATATTGTTGAATATGTCTTCTAGAAAGTACATAGTTAATTAACTAACGATAGAACTAGAGATTGAAAAAAATTTAGTGCTACGCTTAAAAATCACAAAACAAATAATGAGCATATTACTAACATGAACATATGGGTAGACTTTATTAGAAGACCATTTTATTTTTTCGCCTAAGGCCTCAAATTATATTGAGCCGCCCCTGCTTGTGGCCCGGACAGTTAGGGCTTGCTTTTAGGTTTGTTTGGGGTCCAGTGGGTCATGCCTCAGTACTCGAGAGGCATGATAAGGCTTAGTAAGGTTGTAATGTGGGTTCCCAAGCCCATGACCTTTGGAGGGTAACGCCTTTGTGTGTTTGGTGAGGTTTTGTAGGATGCTTTCCCCGTTTGAATGCTTTCTGATATAATCTTATTGATAAAAAAAATAATAATTACCATGGTATTAAATGAACCAGTCACCACTATCAAGCTTTGAGAGCAAGTGATTGTAAAATGCCTAAGACGAGAGACTGAAGTGTTGGAGTATCAATTTGGATTCATGCCAGGAAGGTCAATGATGGAGGCTATTTACTTATTGAGGAGACTAATGGAAAGATATAGAGAGAAGAAGAGAGATTTCCATATGATTTTTATTGCTTTGGAGAAAAGCCTGTGAAAGGGTACGTAGTGATCTAATATGGAGGGTTTTAGAAAAGAAAGGAGTCACAAAGGGATACATTGACAAAATAAAGGACACGGATGATGGTTATGACTATAGTTAGAACACATGTAGGAAAACAAATTAATTTTCAATTACTGTAGGCTTACATCAAGGGGCAACATTAAGCCTATACCTTTTTGCCTTTGTTATGAATGAGCTAACAAAACACATTCAAGATGAGATTCCATGGTGTTTATTATTTGTGGATGATATCGCTTTAGTTAGTGATACTAGAGGAGTTAATGCCAAATTGGAGGTTTGGAGTGCAACTATAGTAAATTTGGAAGTAATATATGTTACAACCTAGTGAACCCACTAAATAACCAATCACATGCAACCAACATAAATAAATATATATATATATATATATATATATACACACACACACACATATATTTCTAGTTCATTGTTCGGGTTCATAGTTTTATAATTCGAGATGGGCTTGGGTTGGGCTTCAGATTGCCTGACAAATTAACCCGAGCCCGGCCCAAAATGAAATAGGGTTCCTTCTTTTCAGCCCAAGCCCGGACTGAATTTCTATTTACACAACCCAAGCCCGAAAATTTTCGGGTTGGGCTCGGGGTTAGCCTGCCCGAGTTGCGGCCCTACTTTTTGTTGTGCCCCATTTTTTCCTACAACATCCTCATGGGAGAATGATATGAAATGACTAGGAATGAAGATGCTATAGGAAGGATGATATTTTCAATGCAAATTAATGATGTAGGGCCTAAAGAGTATGGGCCACCACCTACTAACATCAAATTTTGGTCTGCTAGGTTGCCTAAGGTATGTAATAGGGAATCGAATGTGATGGCACTACATAAATTTACAACCTGAGCCCTTTATATTATTTCTAGCATCCCCTTTGTTCTCCTTTCTTGATTTTAATTCCAGAATATTTTTTCCCTGAATGGTTGGAAATTTTTATTAATACAAATAGACAGTAAGGTGCAAATGATAACATGATCCCTAAAGGATTATTAAGAAAAGGCAGAACCAAAGAAGAAAGGAAAAGAACCTAGCCAAGGCCATACCCTGGACTAGTGGAATGAAAGAGAACACATACAATCAGAACAAGGTTTGCAAGTCTAGTAATGCAATGCCTAAAAAAGATATCCCCTCAAGACATGGTGCTCTTGCCACCTCACTAGCTTGCAGTGCAGAACCCTCATGAAATACTTTATTTCTATGATTCCATAAGCTCCAAATAATAGTAGTGTAAAAGCATCTTGAAACCTAGCTTCTCAGAGAGGGCTGATGACAGTTATGTATGAACCAATTAGTGACAGCTGCAAAAGATGGAAACTCCATAATATCCCATTTGCATATGTCAACAAACCATAACGACACCTGCTTGGCAAAACCACAAGACCAGAACAGATGATCATTTGAGTCAACTCCATTATAGCAGTTATGACATATAGATGTAAGAGTTGGGCCTTGTCTCTGGAGATTAACCAAGGATTTTTTTGCTTGCTGCAACACAAGGACTGAAAAAACAGATACCCTAGGCCGCTGCCATTCCAAACCAAATCATACCATGGAATCTCAACATTTTGCTGTCTACAGAAATTCCAAGCCACTTTGAAGCTAAACTTGCCATCCTTCCAAGTAACTTCATCATCTTCTGCTGGATTATTGTTTTCAGTTACCCAAGTAGAGATCTCAGCTGGCCATGAAGGGGGGAAGTTCCACTCACCGCTCTGCCTTAGTATATTAACTTTGTCATCATGCTAAAAACCTGCAATGAGCCTCCTCAAGCCAAGCCTCTGTTGGAGTGAAACACAACCAAACCAAGGGTCATAGAAAAGGCTAAAAGAAGCCCCATTATTAAGCTTATAGGCCAAATGAGGTAATAAGTAATCTCTGATAGAGATGACATCTCTCCAGCTAGCAGAATCAGTTTGTTTGACATTCACAAACCATAAATTCCAAAGCATGGAGATGATACTTTATTTTAATTCCATAATTTCTTCCCACAACATGGAGATGATACTTTATTGGGATATGAAACATAAAATCCCAAAGCATTGTTGAATGTTAGTTTGTCTATATTGATTTTTCTGAAGAAAAAATTGGCCTTTCACTGCTATAAGAGATCCCCAATCCCCCTGCTAGATAAAAGTTTGTCTTATGAACTTTAGTGGCTTCCTAATATTTTGTCCAGACGAACCACCTCATAACTTTTAATGTTGAATGTATTCCATTGTGATTGATGCATAAAATAGGTATTCCAAGGACCAATTCAATCGGGAAGGTTTCTGACTCTGGTTTCAGTGTCACTGACAATTTTCTGAACTCAGAGGATGCAATTCGTAGAGGAGAATATGCAGTCATTAGAAGCTTGATTCGTGTTTTAGAGGTACTCTAAAGTAGCTTTACTTTAGTTCCTTAATTTCGTTCAATTTTTGCAACTAGAATGTTTTTGAATTATATTGATCTTACTATGAATTAGGGTGGTGTTGAAGGCAAAAGACAAGTGGATAAAGTCATTGATAAATGTGCCTCTATGCAGGTATAGCTCTCTCTGCCCTGATCCTTTCAGGTATTGCTTTTAAGATCCTCATGAAAGTTTGTATGTCGTGAAACTACTTCTACTCAATTTTTTGCCTTGATTGCTTTCTGAGAGAAAATTTTACTGCCTTGCGGTCTTGAGGTTTTACATCTTCATACGTCTTGGAATTTCCATCACTTTTAATGTGTTTGTTTTATTACTGAGTTACAGAACTTACGTGAAGCTATTGCTACTTATCGCAATAGTATTTTGCGGCAACCGGATGAGATGAAGAGGGAAGCATCTCTTTCCTTTTTTGTGGAGTACTTGGAAAGATATTATTTCCTTATATGCTTCGCAGTGTATCTCCATACAGAGAGAGCAGCACTCCATCCGAGATCCCCTGGTCAAAGCAGTTTTGCTGACTGGATGAGAGCGAGGCCAGAACTGTATAGCATAATTCGCAGGTAAAGGTTCTATTTTTGTATTGTTTAATGTCTAAAACCGCAGTTTCAATTTTTTACTCTATTAGGTAAAAGTAAGTGACACTTTTTAGCTTGGATGGTGGTGGTACCAGTTTCTGTGTGACCAAACTTATATTCTTTGAGGCAACTAGACTGTGATACTATGTTAAACTACTTTAAAGCTTAAGCTATTAGAGTGCGCATGTAAAAGTATATTTCAACAGTTTGTGCTCTTTATAGGTTGTTAAGGAGAGACCCAATGGGTGCACTTGGTTATGCAAGCTCGAAGCCATATCTGACGAAGATTGCTGAATCTGCTGATGATCGCCCTTCTGAGATGGGCATAGTTGCTGCCTCGAGAAACGGGGAGGTCCTCGGAAGTCAAACTGTTCTTAAAAGTGACCAATGTCCCGGCTGTCAAAATTCTGGTCTACCAGAGAGAGTGGAGGGTGCCCCTAATTTTAGAGAAATTCCTGGATTTCCAGTTTATGGTGTTGCAAATCCAACAATTGATGGAATTCGATCTGTCATTCATAGAGTAGGTAGTTCTAAAGGTGGGCGACCAGTTTTTTGGCACAATATGAGAGAAGAACCTGTGATCTACATAAATGGAAAACCATTTGTGCTTCGTGAGGTCGAAAGACCATACAAGAACATGCTAGAATACACGGTAAACTTCCATTTTCTTGACATCTGTATCATTTTCGTAAATGGGGTGTGGACAAGTGTATTTAGATTTGACTTTAACTTTATTATTATACACCTTATGTACCAACTCATGCACATTTCAATATTATATGACCCAACTAGTTGTCTGACTAAATAAATATTGTTTTTATTAATAAGATTACAGAATGTGTTGGTTACCACTTACCAGTTTCTTTGCAACAACTATTCATCACAAGTTTTTTCCCTAAAAGTTTGTCTATGTTGATAGCAGGCATTTTCCGCCCTCAAAATGCAGTAAATTTATTATAAATTGCTCGTTTAAAACAAAGAATACGAACCAACTAAACTGAATGTTTTGTGCATGATACTAGAAGACAGATTTGTTCAATATCTATTTTATATGTTCACATGGGTCATACTTGGTGAAACTAAAATACAATGATATCTACATTCAGGGTATCGATCGCGAAAGGGTAGAGAGAATGGAAGCTCGATTAAAAGAAGATATTCTGCGGGAAGCTGAACGATATGGTGGTGCTATTATGGTTATTCATGAAACTGATGATGGGCAAATATTTGATGCTTGGGAACATGTGAGCTCTGATTTAATTCAGACCCCACTGGAGGTTTTCAGATGCTTAGACTCTGATGGTTTTCCCATCAAGTATGCTCGAGTACCTATCACCGATGGTAAAGCTCCCAAAAGTTCTGATTTTGATACGTTAGCTATGAATATTGCATCAGCTTCCAAAGACACTGCATTAGTTTTCAATTGCCAGGTAAAACACGTTAGTTGTCATAAGCTGTATTTTTGTACTTGTGCATGAATATGTTCACGAGCTACTATAAGTCCTTGCGAAAGAGTCTATTGTTCTTTTTTCTTTCTTCCCCCCCTCCACTCCTCACTAAATTCCAGTTCACACAGATGGGTAGAGGAAGGACAACCACTGGTACTGTCATTGCTTGTCTTCTGAAACTTCGAATTGATTATGGGAGACCTATTAGAATCTTAGTTGATGATACGTCCCATGAAGAGGTGGATGGTGGTACATCAAGTGGTGAAGAATCTGGTGGTCATGGTGCCTCATCTGCCTCAGTTATTGCTAAAGATAGACTAGGAAAAGAAACAGGCCGTGAATTTGGTATTAATGACATCCTGTTGTTGTGGAAGATAACACGATTGTTTGACAATGGGATGGAATGCCGGGAGGCCTTAGATGCTATTATTGATAGATGTTCAGCCCTGCAGAACATACGCCAAGCTGTTCTGCAATACAGGAAGGTATTCAATCAGCAACATGTTGAACCAAGGGTCCGGAGAGTGGCATTGAATCGAGGTGCTGAGTACTTGGAACGCTATTTCCGTTTAATTGCATTTGCAGCATATCTTGGAAGTGAAGCATTTGATGGGTTCTGTATACAAGGTGAATTCAGGATGACATTTAAGAGTTGGTTGCATCAGAGACCTGAGGTCCAAGCAATGAAATGGAGCATAAGACTAAGGCCTGGGCGGTTCTTTACAATCCCTGTAAGTCTTTCTTAAAACATTTGGTTTCTTATGGTTGCAGGTTTTTTTTCATTCTGATGACTTGTCTGTTATGCCTTTTTGATTTCAGGAGGAATTGAGAGCACCACATGAGACTCAACATGGAGATGCTGTAATGGAGGCCATTGTGAAGGCTCGTAATGGTTCTGTTCTGGGGAAAGGCTCTATAGTTAAGATGTATTTCTTTCCTGGTCAAAGAACTTCCAGCAACATACAAATTCATGGTGCACCACATGTTTACAAGGTATGCAGAGACGCACACCATTAAAGCAAAGAGGGGGAACCTGAATTTTTATATAATGTAGATAAGAAGGATGGAGACTAGATAATGACATCTAATTATATATTATATTGCCTCCAGTCCACGTAAAACAAGTGTTCCCTGATCACCTTAACAATTATCCCAAATTTATTTTTATTGCTCCAGGACAAAACTTTATATTGCTAAATTGAGTATGGGGTTCTCAAATCTCCTTAACCGGGTGGTGATGATTGATATGCTCATCAGAAATGCGTTTCATTCCCAATATGTATCCCCCCAAGAAATTCATAAAGAATTTATAAAGTAGCTGAGAGTTGGGCTGGTCAGACATTATGGAACTCTGTCTCTACCTTGTTCTTTTGGATACTTTATTTTATTTGAATTTTAATTGATTTCCACCTAATAGTAGGCTGCAACTGTTGTGTTCATAATACACGCCAAAGCTTTTAACAAGTTTCACTTGATAAAATAATGTTTATAATTAGCGTAATTTAATTACGCTTTTCAAAATTCTCTTATCATATTTTATGTAATTCTTTAGTCCATTGTCATGGGCTATATAATTGGAGTTGGCTTTCCTACCACTAACACCCCTTACAATCAAATCCTTTATCCCTTGAACTGTACACATCCCTTAACGCATGAGCATGGAATAACACCTAAGCAAAGAAAACAGCATATAATGTGTGTGTGTGTGTGTGTGTGCGCGCGTGTGCGTGTGTTTTGTTAGGGGCATATTGTCTTGCACTTGAAGTTGTTCTATGATGGCAATTGGAAGAATAGGAGGTTTCCAGTGATTGGTTGAGGCGTTGTCGCGTTGAGCGCATATTCAGAGTGTTCTTCTCCTACTTAACTCATCTCAATAAAGCCTAGTCCCAACTGTTTAAGGTTGGCTATATGAATCTTGTCTCACCATTCTATCTGATCAGCGCCATAATTTCAGTTAAACCACATGCTACAATATTCTATTGTTTCACTTAATCTATCAATTCTAACATACATTATGTCCTTGCGTTTGTCCATGGTACCCTTTCTCATGTTACTGTATGTAGAGTCCAACTAGTTCTGCCATGATGTCATATCTATTAAAATTTCATATCATAACGGAGGGGGAGTGTTGAAATATATAAATATTTCTATATAATTGTGCTTTCATGATATTCATGCTCCAACTTGAGGGAGAGCATTGAAATATATAAATATTTCTATATAATTGTGGAGCAAAATCCTCCACCAATCATGGTGATCCGGAACGGTGGAGCAAAATCCTCCACCAATCACGATGTCTCCTTTGACTATTGTACACTTTCCATATTTTCTTATCTTTTCCTTAGTGCCGAACCATGTAAATCTATGTGTTTTCCATCTTCCGCTTATTCTTGATTTACATTTTATATTTGCACATTCAAATTTTAACACTGGGACATACCTTTGAATTGATAGGTGTTTTTGGTTTTGTTATTTGATAACTGTAACTAATATTTCAAATTATCACCAGATTATTTATCAAATAAAAAGGAGAATAATATAACCATTTCATGAATAAATCATAAATTTTAGATTCTTTTGACTCTTACTATCAGTACTCAAGGTCGGATAAGAAAAGAGGTGGGTTGGTGTCAGACAGAATAGCATATAGGAATATTAATAGGTAAGTGTAATGAACTTGTTCACATACTATTAAGGAGAAAGATTAACATAGGTTGTCTGCAAGAAACTAAATGTAAAGGGGGAAATTTGAGAGACATTAGAAGAAGAAACAAACTCTTTTGTTCGGGTGGCAAAGATAATCATAGAAATGGAGTAGGTATAGGAGTAGACCAGTATATAAGGGACAAAGTTGTAGAAGGTAGAAGAAAAGGAGATTGTAGAAGGTAGAAGAAAAGGAGATAGAATAATCACTATCAAAATTGTATTAGATATTGTAATAAGTGATTATGCACCACAATGACAATCAGATGAAATTTGAAAACACAAAACAGATGTTTTAGGAATCGTTTGATAAAATGATATAAACTATACCATGTAACGAAAGCATATCAATGGGAGGCGACTTCAGTGGTCATGTAGGAGGTGAGCAAACATGATACACGTGAGTTCATGGGGGATATGGTTTTGGGAAAAGAAATTGAGCAGGGGAAACTCTTAGAATTCACAAAGGCAGATGATTTAGCTATAGAAAGTAAACTTTTTAAGAAAAGAAAATAACATTTAATAACATTTAAGAGTGCACTAATATAACAAAAATAGATTATTGCTTATATATAAGAAGAGACTGGAACACGTTTAAATGTTAATTATCACGTGTGGCCTTCTTTTGGTCCAACACTTGTTTAATGTTAATTATCAGGGTGATGTTGAAGTTTGAGCATAGGACCTTACTGATACCATGTTAATCACCATCCACTCTAAAAGCTTAAGCTGTTAGAGAGGGTGTGACTTAAATATTTAAGTCCTTCAACAAAACTAAAGGTAATCTGTGACCATTGCTACTCCTAAAGCTAATCAAGCTCCGGTCATTCAAACTAGAAATAACATTGTAGGTCAACCTTCCAAATGTTTTCAGCCTATGAAATTCTATTTTTCTTATTGTAATAAAGTAGGTCATTCTAGATTCTATTGTTATCAACAAAATTGAGACACTGAGATGCTATTGGAAGAATGTATTGTATAACACTATATATCCCAATAAACATAGGAAACTCAAGATAGGAAAAAGAAAAACAAAAATGGTTAAGGAAAATAAGTCTACTGTTAAAAACCAAGATATTGCTAGCTTCATCTCTGGCCAAGTCATTACTGGATTACATCAAGAATGGAGGAGAGAGATTGCTAATATTGGATTTATCTAATAATTATGAAGGGTAGTATTGTGATCTAAAATTTCCATAGCAATCTTGCTTTTCTTCCTCCCTCTCTTCCGTCCATATTTGGAGGGTTGAAAATTTGAAAAACGGAAAGGATGACTCATCCATTCTCTTTTCTCTTCCCTCCTTGTCTCCTCTCTACCAAACGAAGGAAGTTTGTTTGTTCCTTCCCATCTTCCCCTCTTCCTTTCTTCCTACCAAACGATCCGTAAGTGATTATGTCCACCACCCTTATGCAGTGTGATTTTCTTTAATGCTGATAGATATTTTTGTTAAGTGATTATGTCCACATCCTTGTGTTTATCTTTGGCAGTTTGTTGAATGAACAGTGTCATTATTTGTTTATCTGGAGATGAATTTGTACTATAAGCTTGAACTGATGCTGAAGTTTCTGACCTAAAGCTTTGATTTCTTTTAGGTGGATGGATACCCTGTGTATAGCATGGCAACTCCAACAATTACTGGTGCAAAAGAGATGTTAGTCTATTTAGGTGCCAAGCCCACTGCAGAAGGAAGTTTTGAGCAGAAAGTAGTTTTGACCGATCTGAGAGAAGAAGCTGTTGTTTACATTAATGGCACGCCTTTTGTGCTTAGAGAACTTAATAAACCCGTTGATACACTCAAGCATGTTGGAATCACTGGTCCAGTGGTATGTCATCATTCCAACAGACATGTATACCAAGGACAGACCTTAAACCAAGTCTTTATTAAGTCTTTATTTAACTTCCTTCTTTTTTACCATGATGCAGGTGGAACACATGGAAGCACGACTAAAAGAAGATATAATATCTGAGGTCAGACAATCTGGTGGTCGAATGCTTTTACATCGCGAAGAATACAGCCCTGCATCAAATCAGTCGAGTGTTATAGGATATTGGGAGAACATATTTGTAGATGATGTGAAGACACCTGCTGAAGTATATGCTGCTCTGAAAGATGATGGATACAATATAGACTATAGGAGGATACCACTAACTAGAGAAAGAGAAGCCTTAGGTTCTGATGTTGATGCGATTCAATACTGTAAAGATGAGTGAGTATATCTATACCTAGCTTTCATTTTATCTACCTTTTAAATTGAGCAGTGTTTGTGCTGCTGCTGTTGCTGTAGCTGCCAATGTCATAGTATTTACACAACATTTCACCATGTATCAACCCATCGTAGAGCATAAATTTATTGTATGGGGTTATCAATTCATAGGATTTTATCTGAAAATTACATCAATTACACACTTGTAAATGCCAAGTCTTCGAATTAGGCCTTTTCATGCTACAGCATTTAACTTCAGTTTAAAAGTTAATATGTATTATTGTGTGAGTTTGCTTAATCTTCCCCCAAAAAAAAATAATAATAAAGCTTATTTTTAATCCATTAGTCAAAATGTTTATGGAAGTTGAGTGAAGTCTGGCTTTTAGGATATGATGCAGCATCATTAGCAATTGAGCAATAAAAAAATAAACGGGGCTTGTGGATACAAAGAGTTCTTTTAGATCTATATTCTATATTGTACCTTTTCCTTTTTGTAAGTATGCTTTCAATCTAGTAATGATGATATAAAACTAAATTAACTTTAATCTACAGCTCTGCAGGGTCTTATCTTTTTGTGTCACACACAGGCTTTGGAGGCGTTGCCTATGCAATGGCTATTATTTGTATAAGACTTTATGCAGAGGCTAAGATAGAATCAGATGTACCACGATCGCTGGTTTGTACTACTCATTCATTTTCTTCACCTGTAGAGAACTTACCGTACCGGGCTTCTGATGAAACACTCAAAATGGGTGATTATCGGGAAATACTAAGCCTTACTAGAGTGCTTGTAAATGGTCCCAAGAGCAAAGCAGATGTTGACAATGTCATAGAAAGGTAATCCATCTCTTTTGGTGACAGATTAAGAGGGCGAGCATGAAATTATTTATGTGCTACTTTCTTTGTTGGTTATGTTGTTTCAGTTAGCTATATGATTTATTCTCTTTACTTCTTGGTTGTGTTGTTTCAGCCAATTATACAATTATTGACTCTTTACATCTAAGCACTAATTTAACATTACACCATAATGACTTTGACTTTCATTTTGGGTTTATTAATCGATGAATATCTGATTGCATAATGCATTTTTATTATGGGATCAGGATAAGTACCTTTAATTTAAGAATAGGACCTGATTACTTTTTATTTCTACCATGTAAAATCTGAGGATCATTACCCAAGGTTCTAAGAGGTCAGAGTACCCATGGTTAATTAGATCTAAAGGGGGGTTGAATTGGTCGTAGTGATATTAATTGCGTAAAACTAAGAAGCATGGACACAGACAGCGTGGACACGGCAAATATTAATATTAATTTCATTTATATATCTGTTGATTAAGACTAGAAGTTTAATTAATTTATAATTTCTATACTAGAATTACATAAGTTAGAAGATTACACATTTCAAATATAAAATATATTTTATATAATGATATTACTCTTTATCTTGTCAATGCAGTTATGTTTTTGTTCATTATATATTGTGACACGTGCTTAATATCAATTTTTTTAAGGAAAAGAAATTTTAACAGTTTGACGTGTGTTTAGAATGTTGTTTCTAGGATTTGTTTTATACAAGACAAATAGTGTGGAAGTGTTGGTCGAGTGTCCGGAATATGACGACTAAGTATCCGAGATGTGTTGGACAAATGTCCGAAACTAAGAAGCACGGTCACTTCTACAAGGTGCCGTGTCCATGTCGAACACCAACACTTCATGGACATTCCTGGGCACGTGTTCAACACTCCATGACCGTGTCCGTAGTTTCAAAATAATTTTTATTATTTTGGATACTTGGCCGACACATCTTGGACACTTGGTCAATACATTCCGGACACTTAACCAACACATTCTACACACTTCGTCTACAACATTATGAACATACATCAAAGTGTCTTAACTTTTTCTTTTTTTAAAAAAAAATAAAAATAAAAAAATAAAAAAAACATCGACATTAAACACGCCACATAATGTAACGAGCAAAAACATAACTATAATGACAAGATAGGATAGTAATATCATATATAATATGTTCTTTTTTATATTTGAATAACTTCCAACACCTAACTTATATAACTTTAGTATCGAAATTATAAATTAATTAAAGTTTTGTAAATGTCTTACTTAATAGATATATAAATGAAAATGTATATTGAATTAGTCGTGTCCATACCGTGTCCTGTGTCCTTGCTTCTTGGGTCCAAAATAATAAAAAAATATTTTTAAATTATGAACTCTGCCATGAAGTGTCAAACATGTGTCTAGAAGTGTTTTTTAAGTGCCATTGTCTGGCACGGACACGACACCTTCTTAGAAGTGTCCGTGCTTCTTAGTGGTCAAACCTAATTCGAAATTCATTTAATTAGTCTTATTTGTGTCTCAATAGCAGTCACATAAAGCAATAAATAAAATAAAGGAAAAGGAAAAGGAAAAACTCCGGGACCTAATCCAGGAAAATCAAAATCTACTATGAGAAGAGATTTTCTAATTAAGTTGCCAGATTTTGAACTCTAGAGTCACTATTTCCTTCTGACTCAGACTAATGGAAGATCTCCTTGATCCTTTCGGCCGCTGATCAGCAAACAAATTCATTCCTCACATGATCTGCTTCTGTATGGACTTTTGATCGCATGACTGGTGATGTCAGTTCAACATGTTCTTTATGAACCCCCCAGTTCATACTCTGTTTGATAGTGTCAATTCTGCTAATTGCTTTCGTTCTCTCGATCAAATATAATATGGTAATCTATGAAAAATTGTAGATTAATTGTCAAAGCTTTCTCCCTTTGAAAATATAAAATCTGTTACTATATTCTGGAGAGCTCAATAGAATGACCCTAAACTGATTCTAACCCCATACTTGTAGCCAATATAGGAGTCTCATGAAATATAGAAAGTACAATCCGTTTAGGAGTCTGATTCGAGGAGTTTCAAAAAATACTCCATTGATTGGGCCTTTGATTGAGTGACTTTGGCTTTCTGTCCATCTATCGAGCTATCAGTTGACACACACTGTCCAAGGTTCAAACAATCAAGCTTTCAGTCGAGCTATTCTTGACTTCAAGTGAGATTAATAAGGAACATGTTGATCGAGGGGGTATTGATCAAGATCTTTTTTTTGTATAAATCCCCAATTTAATTTGAAATCATTGAGAACTTTGGATAAAAAGGGGAGAAATTTTGGTAAGAGATGTTGATTAAATTGAGGATTATTATCTCAACTTTATACATTTGTCTTGGTAGTTCTGTATAATGGTGTGCAGGACACACCTTTAGTTGGGAAATTGATGTTGATGAGCTACTTGTTGAGATGTCTTTTTCATACTTTAATGTGCTCTAGTTTTCTATTTCTGGTTAGGTGATACTATTGTTTGTATACACCAGTGTTGTCTCATAATTGGCAAAGGAGATGTAACAACAAAAAAGAGTCCAATTGAGTTTTATGTCTGATTATGGGAAGACTGCGTGAACAAAATGTAGTTGAAATTTTTCGTCAAGTGTTGGTTTTGCTTTGTGTATGTTGAGTCATACGTACTTTGCTTGATTGCAAAAATTCGGAAGACAACTTGGAATACACATGCTTAGGATAAGGTGATGTTGACTTGGGTGGACATTTTTGTAGAATTATTTTTATTATGGATTTTTAAAAAATAATTGGAAACGTATTAAATGATTTTGAATAACTTGGTTTTTCTGAATATTGTTTTTAAGTGGTGTGAAACTTTAAAAACACAATTTTGGTCAAGTTTTTAGGTTCCCACAAACTGTACCTTAAGCACCGATCCTCAAGGCTTGAGCACTGGTGCTCTGGTTCTGGTCACCCAAGCATCAATGCTCAGATGCTGAGGACCAACACTTTGCTTCCATTGTTTATGTGGCAGTGCCATGCAGCTGAAAAACGTAAGCCGCTTTTTGTTAGTAAGCCCCTTTTTATTAGTAAGGTATAGGTTGGGTAAAACTCCAAAATTAGGGTTCCAAAAATCTTACCTTGTATTATATTAAAGTTTTAGAAAGGGGCACCCCTTCTATACCCCTAAACTACAAGCTAGCTTGTAACGGCTTTTCAGCTGTTGCTGCTTGCAGGCTCAAAAATCTCTTGTTCGCCTCTCCTCCCTGTCTCCATTCAATTTGATTCACTTCTTCCTTCGCACAAGCAATTGGTTCGCCCCATGTGTTTCATATTGTGATCCTCCTCTTCAGGATTGTCAAGTTGCTCAAGTTTCCAACCAGGTTACGTTTCATATGCACGAATATAATGAAGCAGGAATAGAATGCATGAGGAAAGTCAATGAGAATGTGTTGGGGCAGCTAAAGCACGCGAACATGCAGATCCCAATGAAAGCCGACAAAGCAATCATCACAAATACAAGATATAACGTCGTGATTCAGCCAAAATCGGCTTACATCCACGCATGAGAAGAAATTCCACTATGATTTGTAATATTATTACAACACTAGAGTACCAACACCGTTTACATGCCTCTTCACCACGTAGTCGTGTACCACTCCACCAGCTTGTCTCCTCACTAATAGTGTCACCGGTGTTTTTCTTACTCTACCAACCCATAAACTAGCTCTACCCATCAACTCCCTCATGAGGTTACATCTCTCCCAATCTCATAAGTCTCAACCCATAACCTAGGTGCCTATTTATAGAGTTCCGAACCCAATTCCTTGTTTGAAAAGGATTATAATTTCTTAGAGCTCAAGACTTGCTTTACAAGACAATTCCTAACAGAATACAACTCTAAAATAGAAACCAGAATATGAATTTGAGACATAATTCCAACAATCTCCACCTTGAGTCAAATTTCATCCAGCCAATCATCGCTTCCTACAGCATTGATCAGGGCAATTGCAAAACTATCATTGTCCACACTATACATTGTTCGATTTGTCAAACCTTCAAAGCTCCACCTTGACTGCTTGAGCTCTTTGCCATGTAACCCATCACAATTTTCTGACCATCACGACCAACCAAGTCGATTGACTCCACCTGCAACTGAAACCCGTTGCAGTACATGTTGAGACACCTTCGGCTCTAATACCAATTTGTTGGGGCAGCGTAAGTACGATCCTAATGAAAGCCAACAAAGCAATCCCACACAAACACAAGATATAATGTGGCCAAGAATGGAATGCTCCGGCGTAGAATTTGCTCTGCGGTGGAAGAAAGGAAAGTAGACATACAACCATAACTGCATAAGCCATAGTGGGCCTCTAGAAGCCCTGCACCCAAAGCTTAAGGAAATAGTGCATTCCGCGATACAAGTGTGCCAGAACAGCAAGGTGCTAGTGCCAACTTGCGCCTGTCAGCAAGTGCAATAGTGACCTCTTCGCAATCCTTGATGACAATCTAAGATGCGTCAGCCAAAATCGGCTTACATCCACGGATGAGAAGAGATTCCACTATGATTCGTATAGATATTACAACACTAGAATACCAACACCATTTACATGCCTCTTCACCATGAACCATTCCACAAGCCTATTTCCTTACTAATTGTGTCACCTATGTTTTCTTACTCTACCAACCCATCAACACCCTCATGAGGTTAAATCTCTCCCAATCTCATTAGTCTCAACCCATAACCTAGGTGCCTATTATAGGGTTCCGAACCCAATTCCTTGTTGGATAATAATTACAATTTCTTAGAACCCAAGACTTGCTTAACAAGAAATTTCCTAACAGAATACAACTCTAATATAGAAATCTAATTAGAATAGGAATTTGAGACACAATTCCAACAGAATGGAATGATCATTCCCATTCCACTATTTGATCGCAATCATGGATTGATGTAGGATTAGAATGGTCATTCTTATTCTAATGTTTTA